GTTTCCCTTTGGGGTTGCTGTAGGTGATCTGGAACTCTGTTTTTGAGGCTTGTTTATGTGTTTTCTCATTTCCATGGGTGGGGTGGGTGGGTGCTTCTGGCACCCATGCGGCTCACCTTCTCTGGCCACGGAGCCTGGGATGGCAGCAGGGGAGCTTCCTTCCGGGTTCTGGGACTGGCTGAGCTTCTGTGCCCTAGGAGCCTGGGATGGAGGCGGGGAGCTTCCTTCTGGGTGCTGGGACTGGCTGAGCTTCTCTGCCCTAGGAGCCTGGGATGGCGGGGCAGGGGGGGGAGCTTCCTTCTGGGTGCTGGGACCGGCTGAGCTTCTCTGCCCTGGGAGCCTTTAAACCTTTTTCTTGATCTTAAAGATCATGTGAATTGGGGTTGGGGAGGGATGAAGGGTGAGTGAGTCTCTAAGGATAATGAAATAATCAATGACTGGAACCATTTTCCCATCATTCTTTGTTCAGAGCATTCTCTGTATCCTTTAAGAATCCATCTTTTTCTTTTGCAAACCCTGATCTTTCACTTGAAAGATTTTATTGTATGAAAAATTCCACAGGTCCATAAATTTAGAGGAAAATGAGTATTTGGCCCAAAAGAGGAAAAATAATCAAGATTTTAGGGCTTTTCTTTTTTCTTTTGTAATTGTGTAAAAAATGAGAAAATCATAAAAAGCAGAATTTTAATGTGAAAACATTTTTTGCTATAATCATTAGTTTTAGAGGCATTGTTTAGTGTGTATGCAGAGTCCATTTCCCACATCTTTCCTCAAGTAACTTCTATTTTTATCATGAATTCCCTTTTAATCAACTGTAGTTTATTTAAAATAAATTCCTACAACGTAAATGGGGGGAGGAAACCCAACTAACCAACCAAACAAAAACCCCAAAACACCAATAACATTCCTCACAGAACTAGACAAAACAATCTTGAAATTCTTCTGCAACCAGAAGACACCCAGAATAGTAAAAGCAATCCTGGGCAACAAAAGCAGAGCAGAAAGCATCACAACCCTAAACATGAAGTTATATTATAAAACTACAGTGATAAAAACAGCATGATACTGGCACAAAAATAGTTTTGTGGATCAGTGGAACAGAATAGAGGATGCAGAAACAACCCCAGGCACATTCAGCTATCAGATCTTTGACAAACATACACAGGAAGAAAGGTAACCTCTTTAATAAATGGTTCTGGGAAAACTGGCTATCCACATGCAGAAGGTTGAATTTAGTCCCTTATCTCTCACCATGTACCAAACTAAAATAAAAATTAATCAAAGAACTAAATGTGAAAACAGAAACATTTAATCTTCTGGAAGATAAAATAGGTAAAACTCTTGAAGGCTTAGGCAAAGGCCAGGACTTTCTGAACAGAAGAACCCCCAATTGTACAAAAAATAACATTAGGAATCAACAAATGGAATCACATCAAATTAAAAAGCTTCCACATAACAAAGGAAACAATCAGTAGAGTGAAGAGACAACCTACAGAATGGGAAAATTTTTTTGCCAGTTTTTCCTCAGACAGAGGACTATTACCTAGAATATATAAAGAGCTAAAAAAAATAGACCCCCAAAATAAAAGACCTAGTCAAAAAATGGGCATCCGAAATGAGCAGATAACTTCTTAGAAGTGACCAATAAATACATGAAAAAATGTTAAACATCTCTGGCCATTAAAGAAATGCAAATTAAAACAACACTGAAAGAAC